ATGTTCAGCACTGTGTCTGTTCTAAATCAGTTGTCTCAACTGCTCTTGCTCCAAGGGCTACTCTAGATGGATTCTAAGGAAGAAATCCTACACCAAAGCAGATATCCTCAGAGACAGGAGTGATACACCTAGGGAATAAACTCAGAGAAGGGGAAGCTACGGAAAGACTATTTTGTGTTAGTCTCACAAGTGTTATTTGGTTTGTATGTAGTCTGGATGACACTGGTTTAACGAGGTCTTAGGAGTCGTTGTGTTTATTTATTTTTTACAGCATTCAGAATGTTCAGAATAGAATTAGCTATTCAAGTCACTGAATTCCAAAGCTCCATTTAAATCATTAAAGAATAATTTCTTTTATGGTTTGACTTTGTTTGCTTGGAGTGGATAAGAAAAGATCTTTTCCCCTTCAGATAGAAGGGCTAAGGACTGATACTTATATTAACAACTTATAATTAATTATGGAATTGGTAAATCTATTTCCTGACTTCCTTCTTTAACTAAATTCCTTGTTTAAATTCCTAAGCTTTCTTTTTTTGTCTTAAATAAGTCTCTCCAAGTAATTTTTACAGATAAATCCTATTTTAATTTCTTAATAGCAAAAAAAGGTTGGTTGTTTTCATAAACATGTGGTTGAATCCACTCTGCCAGATTTCTGGGTCATCTGTCTAAATGAGGCTAAATAAATCCCACAGAAATCTTATCCGGAAAGGCTAAATATATACTAGAAAGCTGCAAGTTGGAACAACTATTTCAAAAATTGTCTTCGAGAAGGTTGGTTATAACCACTTTAAAAGAAAGCCTTTGTCTAGCTTTACAATGAAATTTGAGAATCTTCAGAAAAATTCCACGTAATAAAAGCATTTACTAGTAACCGAGACAATTATGATAAAGTTTCTACTTTTAAGAAAGGCCCACTGATTTCGTTTTTTAAATATCTGAAAAGCGTTTAGTATGATATGTTCTACTTAGGAGCTTCCCTATAAACACATCTATGCGCTTTCAAATGTGGCCTCGGATCATTTCACGAGGAGTTTAGGCCTATGACTCATTGAGGAGACTTCAAATTTGAGGTTTTGTCTACTGAGCTGTGGCTCTGACTCACAGATATATATATGGTATTGCATGTGGTGACTGAACTTCTGAATGTCAAGAACAGTTGTCTAAGCCCGAGAAGTGTTGTAGCTGCCGTGTGGCGTTTATAAACAGAAAACACGTATGAAGCGCAACATGGGGTGTGTGTGTCAGGAAAGGATTGTTGAGTAGTATTAGATGATACTTGTAATTACCGTATGAAGGGGACCATCTCTTTTTTTCTTTTCAGCCTTCAGCTTGTTGTTCTTACTTGCTGCCAGCCCTTCACAAAGGTGGAAGTTGAGGTAAGTCACTCAAAATATAGCCATGAGACTTGCAATTTGGCCTTTCCTTTTGTTTTCAAATTCTTGTCTAGAGAGACCAGACGTGCACAGGTGAGATATTAAACCCGCGCGGTCTTTAAAATAAGCCCTGTGTGAAGATAGTGTATCTAAACCCAGGCTGTCAGATCCAGCCCTTCGAATTGTATCAGGAAACCCCTCTAACTTCTGGGAACTTCCAACATGTAACCAGCCTGGCTGGCCAGATTCGAATCATCTGTTCTTACCTTTTTGGTCCCATTGAACGCAGACCTCTGCCAAGTCAAATGATGCACCTTCACATTGTGACAGAAGGGGCTGCGGAGGCCGATGGAGCCCTGCACTCCTTGAAGGGTGGGGTGTGTGCAAGCTGAGGTGCTGCTTGGGGTCAAGCCCTCAAGGGGAGGCACAGAGGTCAAGCCCTCGCTTTGGGAATCCTGCTGCACGTGGAGAGCCTGAGGAAGCCACATCCAGGAAGCAGCTCCCGTCACGTCCCAGGACAGTCTCTTGGTTTGAGCTATAATGACAGGTGGAGAGTGGGCGAGTAAGCAGATCATTCTGAAAATTCTGACCAAATGGTTAACACTCCGAAGGTTGGTTCTGGAACTTTTCTTAGTTTCTAGGACTGATGTGGAATGGCCCCTTGAATTCAGAATTTAGTTAGTTCTAGTGATACCTGCAGGTAACCTCCGAATAGAGAGGGTCAGATAGTATCTAGATGTGCTGCTCCTTCCTCTAAATTTACCCCTTTCCAGCTAAAACAAGATCTAGCGATGGATGTGGAAATGTACCTGGAATCGCACGTTTTTGTGTGGCACATGTGCCAGTGGTCAAAGTGCATGACAACAGGTGTGCAAATTCCTCAGTTTTTTTTGCCCTGACCACTATTACCGCGTTTCCTTTACATGTAGCTGGCTGGCTTTCTTCTTTTTCCTCCCTTTCTTTCTCTCTCTCCCCGTCCTCCCTCCCTCCCTCCCTCCCTTACTTCTTATCTTCCTTCTTTTCAATTACAATATTTATATTTTCTAGCCCATTCTTATACTTGTTTGAATAATATTTTCTGGCAAAGAAAGCAATGTATTTTTTGTTCAATAACCTCATAAACAAAACGGCTTTCAAACAGTTTAAAATACCCGAATCAGTAGGGATTTGATGCATTAGAATTGTGTGGTATGGGGCAGGAGGGTGGGAACTTATGGACTTCAAATTTGGTATTCTTTTTTAATTATCCGTATTTTAGGTTTGCGAATCCATCTTTCACCCAGGGGACTCCTAACAACTATATTATTTTTGAATATTTAATCCCCCATTGTTTAGATCTAACTGAAAACTGTATCACAGCATCCCTTCGGACACTAAGTCTATCCACATCCTGGCTCAAGACTGTCAGGAGCTGGCCCTGCCTCTGAGGCACCAGCTTCTGCACCATGTCAGAGGAGGCCCACCTGTGCTGCCCCACGTGTGGCTCAGTTAGAAGTCTCAGCTCATTTAGCTGCACCAATTTCAGTTGTCTAGATTGTTCAGAAGCACCTTTCTCTCTTTCCTATATCTTTAAAGTTGATGGAAATTCTAGGTATTGTTTCCGACACATATTGTTGGAACTTTTTGAATATTAATTAGGTAAACCTAATTCAGTATGTTTTATTCGAGGATATGGCATTAGCTTTATGGTTTAAAATGAACTCGGAGTGGATTACTAGAGTGCCCTTTTAGACACTCGTTATGAGTCACTGGTTATCTCACTATGTTGACTGCTGTACCTTTTAGTTTCTCAAGTCTCCCATCATTAATGATGATCGTCACACTCTTTAATTACCAAAATCATTGGATATCTAAAATCTAGAGAATGTAGTATTGAGAAATATTTCTTTTCCTCCTCTCCCCACACCCTCTCTGTTTCCCAGACACAGAGACTTGGATTTGAAAAGCTTATTATTTTCTTGACTGTTTGATCTTAAGATTCAGTAAGTTCCAAACTACATGCCCTGTGTAATTGGTCTTCTGGCATCTTTGAGCAGTGATACCATGTGTGTCTACAGAATGGTTCTGAAATTATCCTTCAAATCAGAATGTGGCCCAGTAGGTATGCTTAGTCTTTTAGCAATACCTTTTATTGGCCAGGTGCTTCACAAGGATGCCTTAATAAGCATATGGTTAAGGGCACAGGCAATGGGATGGCTAGTAGGAAACATCCCAAAGTATGACATAAATTAAGAGCCTGCTAGTTTATCTCATGAGAGAGGATACAACAAAGTCAGACCATGTAGCATCATGTGGGCAGCAGCTAGATTATGATGGAACATGTGTTCACATTGGTTCACAGTTTCCCTCTTCACAGGCCATACCTCGGTTTGCATTCAAAGCATGTTGACTTTAAAACTACCCATTACATTATAAATACATCAACGTGTTTTGTCTGTAGCCAATCAGACATATTTTCCTTTAGGAAAACCCCTTCGACAAGCTTATGGTGAGCTTCTAGTAGCGGCTAGCATTAGACCTACAATACTTTATGGTAGACAATTCATTGCCTTAAGTGATAGAAAAGGGTTTTTTTTTTGTTTTTTGTTTTTTTTCCACTAAAATTTTGTTCTGATTTAGGAAAGGATTGTAATTGATACTGAGTGTTAAGATCAACACCTGTAGATTTAGGTCCCTTTCAAAATCTCCAAAGAGCTAATTAATTAGGGAAGGTTCAGATACATTTATGTAGTTTATATAAACATCCAAATGCTCTAAAATGATTTGTGGTTTTGAATCTTAAATGAGCCTTGTAGAAAACCTCCAGTGCATACATACACACACATCACAAATTTACTTGTTCTGACAAAGCTTACTTTTTCTTGAACTTGGTAGGATTCTGGAATTGCTGGGTAGTAGTAGTAGAGAACTGGAGTGTTATAAAGAGTGTTCACTGTGGTTTTCATTTCATTTTGCTCTGACCTGCCCGTCTGTGCTTAAGCAGATTAGTTAAAGCCCTCCAAGCCCGTGTCCTCACTGGTCAGAGAGAGACAGCATATATTTTGTAGGGTCGTGAGGATTTTAAAAGGCTACTTATGTGCTGGCACGTGGGAAGTGTCCAGGAAGCATTAACTTTTATCTTCCTTATCATCTAGATTTTTCTGTTCTTTTGGAAAAGAAGCAGCAAATGTCATTCACGAGTACCTTCCTTGTTTTGCATTTTCTCTTTTCGAAGACTTAAAAGAAGAACTAGAACTGCACATTTGTTAAGAAAGCCCTGTTAAAAATCTTCTCTGGTACTCGGAAAAAGATAAGATTGTATATGTAGCATCATGACTCATCAATCTTTCTCATAATCATATATTTAGGAGGAAGGAATATGCTCGATGGGGTCAGGAGACAGTGAATAAACCAGTTATGCTGGGACTAAGAATTCAAATAAAGGGAGGGCTCTGGATTACAGGTGGCCTTTAATAATAGGCCAAGGAATTTGGGCGTTATCTTGTGTGCAGTCTAAGGCCCAAGGGGAGGAAAGAGGCTCTGGGATGAAATGCACAAACAGGTGTTGGTGTGGGAAACACGTCGATTAGCCTGTTCCTTATCTGGGACAGGATGATGTAGCCTCAGCCCGTGAGGGAACAGAGGACATGGAAGAGAGGGCAGTGAACCAGCCCCAGGTGAGTGGGAAAGGGCATTACAGAAGTTCACACGAGCTATTGCAGGGGAGGAAAGGCCCCTCCCCGCACCTAGGTTCGATAACTGGGTCTGTGAAATAAACTGACAGTACGTAGATTCACAAGGGAAAGGCATACAGATTTATTAATTTTTCATATTCACTAGGACATCACAGGGAACAGAAAGTCAATCCTTTTGTTTGAGAGTTTACATTCCGTCTTAAAAGAGGAAAGGGAGGGAGCATATAGGCCGCTTAGGGGAGAGCAAATGATTTTTAGAAAAGACAAACAGGCCCTTAGGAGAATAGAGGAGCGATATGGGAGTGTGGGGTAAAGTTTGTCTGGGTGCAATGTCAACTGCTAGTCTCCTATCCTCTGGCAAGAGTCAGTGCCCCTGTTCGATGAATCTCCCCAGGAAGGGATTTATGACAATCGAGTTCCTTTTGGAGGATCTGTCTTTAGGCATATAAGGGGATTCAGAGGAAGCCTCTCCCTGTATTTGCCGTTGTTCAAGTGCCTTCAGCTCAGAATAATCAGTATGCCTGAGCGGCATACTTTGGAGTCGTGTGTCCTGAATTCCTTCACTGTCTTCTTTCTCAAGTTGAAAGCGAAGTGCAATTGAGATGAACATGAAATTGCGACCTGAGCAGCGTAGACTGTGTTGAAACAGTGCAATATGATGGCAGCAGATCAGAAAGGGACATAAAAGTGTTGCCAGGCATCCGCGAGCTGCCATGTACGTTAAGCAACTTGATCTTCAGCCATCAACAGACATTAAGGAAATAGGCTCTGTATTAAGAAAACACATTTTGTTTTCTTAATAAACAAAGATCTTCAGCAAACGGGAAACAAACGAAAAACTAGTTTTATATTTTGAGGCGGTTCGGTCACCTTTGGGAAGATAATACAGTTTTCAAGCAGCTCTGAGGAGCCTCTGAAAGTTCACATGGATTTGTAGTGGCCTCGGCCCATAAGGTTTTGTACCTTTCTTTAGCACCTCTAATAGGAGTGGGATGGCAGGATCAGGAGAGGTGATCGGGGGTTTGTGCTTGGCACCATGGTGTGGCAGACAGGAGAGGATCTAGGTGACAAAGGCCACGTGGAAATAGGCAGGCAGATATTGCAGGAGAGGCTAGGTAAAGAGGGGTGAGCAGGTCCTGGGTGTGACCATCAGGTTCTCATAGACTGTGTCGGACTAGGTTAGTGGGGAAGTAAACACTTGTGAACAATGAGGGGAAACTCTGCTGACGAACTTGTCACAGGAGGAGATTAGAGTCATTTATTCATTTCCATGGCTGAAATGTTGTTGAGAGGCAGATCCGGGGCCCGAGGAAGGAGCTGCGAAATCAAGATGTGTGGCTACCGGGTATGATGAGAGAAGATGAAGGTGGAAAGGAAAACTTGGGGTCCCGAAGCCACTGGGATATGGAGATGTGTCTTAGGGGACAGTAATAGATAATGGCCATCCTTTTCCCTCCCAAATAAAGAGTATGTTCATGCCGAGAGCCTTGAATGGCTTTGTAAAAAATGGAAACGTGATAAGGAAGGCAAGGTCTTATCCAAGGAGAGGTGACTTTTTATTAGAATTTCTATCGAATTGCGACTCAGGAGGCATGAGTGTCAAATCCAGATTTTTAATTATTTTGTGTTCTCAGTGGAATGTTTTTCCTCAGGAATGAAATGCCATGCCAATATGAGAGTTATTAAAAATCATTTTATGGAAAATATTACCCACACAAAAAAGAACTAAACCCATCATAATTCATTGTATTATGTTTGGTTAATTTATTTTTTAGGAGTTTCAGTATGTTCTCTTATGACCTACAAATTAAGTGTATTATAAATGATCATTTGGCTTTTTTAAGAAATGAAGAATTATGTGGCAATTTAAAACTTTAATTTCTTATACTATTTTGTAGAGATTTTACGAATATCGATTTTAACATGCTTTTCTTCCTTGGATTGCATACTAAGCAAATATAAGAAATTTTACTAGAATGAGATGGAGGGAATTTTTAGAAATATTTATTTGCAAAGATAGTTTGTTGCTCTGGATATATAAGTAATGTGGGGACCCCTGGTGGCTTAGTTTATTAAGAATAAACTAAGAATAACTGGATACTAAGTAGAAAGCTAGATAGAGAATTCCAGCCAGACAGGACCTTAGAGGTTATCTAGTCAAACTTTTCCATTTGACAAGAGAGGGAACTGAGGCCCATAAGGCTAAATGACTTTTTCAGGATCACACAGCAGAGCCAAGGCAACAAATGCTATTTCTACAGCATGCAACTGTCCCCCCCTTGGAGAGGATGTCAATCAAATAAACGTGAACAGTAAAATGACAATACACATTATCCTATGATTCCTCTCCATTTTATTCTAAAAATGCCGCTCGCATCCCTGCTCTTCTCTACAACTTCTCTTCCTCGATTCTTGGTCTTATCATCTCTCGAAGGGCAATTGCAGATGCCCCCCGGGGTTCTCCCTGCTCTTAGTGGCTTCCTCTTTGGTTTATCCACTCCCTGCAAACTCACTGATCAAAAACTTGGACTTGGGCGTGTCACCTCCTTGCTCAGACTTCATCTCTGAGTCACCATTGCCCACAGCTTCTTAGCATGACTAACAAGACTTGAAAACAGGTCCACGTGAGATCAGAAAGAG